TGTTTGCCGCTCGCTTGCCTGCTTGCCTGCCTGCTCGGTCGTCCCTCGCTCGCTCTCGCTCGCTTATCCCGGTCGGTCGTCGTCACCAGAGGACCCGGCGCTTCGAGGGCAGCGGCATAACGGCCGCCAAGGGCGCCTATTGGGTGGTGTTCGACAGCCTCAGGTACCTGCACGATGTGGACTTGAGCGATTGACATGGCGTGTTAACATTTTTGTACGGCATTGCATTGCGAACACGTACACATATATGCATATATACATATATACATATGGATTCTGCCTGCTTATCAGTAGTTCGACAAGGACACATCCGCAAGTATGTACACTCTTGCATGTCCGCACGCACCTGTCTAGTACTCTACCTCATGCATTATCTATCATCTTGTACCTTCGTCGTTGTCGTTCAGGCGGGCGCATGTGGATGGTTACGAGATGGGGCATTAATATTCTTTGATGTGACTTTTTTTCTTCCGCAACCCTTATCATAATCACACACATATACATACAGATGTACATACATCCATACACGTATAATTGTACATACATACATTCATACAGATCCCTGGGCCAAGTGGACCTGCGGTTCAGCTTCCGGGGCCCCGACAACTTGCTGGTTGGGCCTGTTGGGGATGAGAGCCAGTTCGAGGTGCGTACGTACTATGTGTCGTATGCATGTGTTTATGAATACCTACGTTTGTATGTCTGCGGATGTATGTCTGTATGCAAAGTGGAACGGTGTATTTCCCTCTATTCCCCTCTCCGACCCTTCCGGCAGCAGCTTCTTAAACCCATCATACACGTACGAACCGGTGGCAACCCCTCGTCCCCTTGCTTATGATCATGATTGAAAAAATCAACGAGCGCTTCCCCGTCCCGCCCCGCTGTACATGGTGCAACGCAACTAACCATCAACGAAGGGCATCTCGTACGACGACGCGACCGACACTTTTTTGGTTATTCGGGAATCCATGGAGCATGATGAGCAAGGACTCGTACCGGTCACCGAGGAGTTACAACTAACTGAAAACGGAAACAGTTACAAGGTTTGTTTTATTGGGCAGATGAACAGCGACACGCTTACGATGTATGATGAGAGGAATACGTTTCTATGTATTTAGCCGTAGTTGCCTCTTATTATGTTATGTTGCTGGCAGAGCGCTGCAGCGTGTATCCATAGATGGTGCATGGTCCGTACTACTGTACGACAGCTACGACAGCAGTTGTGGGAAGTATGTACGTATGTACCAATGTGTATTCACCAAGCCGCCCATGCAGCAGTGCACTGCTGCTGCGCAGCATGCTGCGTACGTCAAAATTATTCTCACCTCTTTTACCTTTGGTATGTAACGGTAACGGCCATCTACCGCAAGCGCCTCACTATGCGGCTACCCTCGCTCACCCCAATGTACGACACCCAGGTTCTGGAGCGCTGCATCGTCCGTTTCGCGCTTCAGGACGAAAACAAGGGCTTTGAGTCCTTGGTGGTGTTTCGGAGGGACGGAGAACGGCACATGCTGGGGCTGTGCGAGAGTGAGTGGGTGGGTGGGCGGTGCTAGGGCGAGCGGGTTCTAAAGCGAATGGGTGGCTAGACGGATTGCCGCGGGTAGTGGTTAGGTAGGTCGTTGGGTGCATTAATTGGGCGATAGATGATATAGCTATAGTTCTTAATAACTGTGTCTCTGCTGCCATGACGTGTTGCCATCACGTGCTGCCAACACGTGCTCCCATACATAGATACATACATGCATACGTACATACATGTGTCTGGCAGGTGGCTGGCAGAAGTTAAGGCCTGACTTCTGCTCCCGGAGGTTCCGGGTTCAAATCCGCCTGCCGGCCCCTCGGTGTGTGAGGGGTGTTGAATTGGGGGGTGGCCCGCCATCGTGTGGACGGTGTAGGACGTGATTATACCAACTTGCGAGCTGACCAGGAACTAAGTTATGGCGCCGTTGATCTGCTAGATTTGGTTGGATGCTGGTGGTGAGTTGCTGAACCCAATGGATTAAGGTGCCCCTCTCGCAAGGGAGAGCAGGGAACTGCCCCGGGAAAATGGGCTGCTGGTGAAGCTATACCACCCTGTAACAACATCATACATACGTATATATATACATACACACATATATATATATATATATACATGCTGGCTACCCTCCCCCCGTTTTCAGAGGCTTGATCGCCCGGCGTCGCCGCGGGGTTTTCCCCTTCGAGTACTTTTCAAGTTAGACACAGTGCTGTGGAAAGGCGTGGACTTGTGCGGTGTTATTCCCCCCGACGGCTGCTATCTCCCCTTGACTAGCCCAGGGAGGGAGAGGCGGGGGAGGGTAGTAGACTCAGGAGGCTGTTTGACGTCTTGTGGTGTGAACTCTTTGCGCTCTTTTTGTGTAAGGTTTTTTTGGTGACCTCCCCAGCCCGGGATGACTCGTCGGGCTCTCGGTCGCCCAGGTCCTGGTTGCGAGCTTTCTGAGGTGCTCGGTACGTTCGGTCGACAGGAAGAGCCCCCCAGTTGTGACTTCGTTTATGTTAGGAGACCAGCGGGCATAGATCCCGTCTAGCTGGAGCGCCAAACCCCGGAGGGGAGCGCTGATGTGTGCCGGCCGTCGTTCCCCGTGCGGCCTGACCCGGGGCCGGAGTGCGCGAGACTAACCGGCCATGTGCATCCCCCCCCCCGCGTGTTTCGGCCCCCTGTTTTTCGGCCTTGGGGCCCCGGCTTTTTAGCCCACAATGTAATGAACGTCATACATACATACATACATTTTAACTTCCTTATAGGCAGGCGGCTGGCAGAGGTTAAGGCCTGACTTCTGCTCCCGGCCGACCCGGGTTCAAATCCGCCTGCCGGCTCCTCGGGTATTTGAGGAGTGTTGTAATGGGAGGTGGCCCCCCATCATATGGACGATGTAGGACGTGATAAAATCAACTTGCGAGCTGACCAGGAACGAAGTTATGGCGCCGTTGATCCGCTAGATTTGGTTGGATGCTGGTGGTGAGTTGCCGAACCCAACGAATACATTCTGAAGTCGGATGGGGTGACGGATTAGGGTGCCCCTCTAGCAGGGGAGAGCAGGGACTGCCCCGGGAAAGGGGGCCGCTGGCGAAGTTAACCACCCTGTAACAACATACATACATTTATTTATACATTCATACATATAGACATACATTCGTTTGTACATTTATACATACATTCATACATACATTCTTACATACATTCATTCATACATGCACATGATGTCCTTCGCCTGCCCCCCTGCTGTGCTGTATGTCGTCCCAGGCAACTACTGCATGACGGTACATGGCCCCGACGCGCCAGGCCTAGAGGTGAGTGCTGGGTGTGAGGGGAGGAGGGGCGGGAGGGGGGCCGTGGGTGTGCCGTGGGAGAGCGAGAGGAATTTGGGACGAGTGATGCGGTGATGCGACGCAAGGTAGGTCGGTGGGGGGCCGAAACAGGTGGGACGCGCGCTCTAACCTGCCGGTGGGGTGAGCCCTACCTGCCGTAGCAGTAGTACGGCAAATTGCGCGATTGGGCGATTTCGGGAGGGATGTGTGTGGTGTGTGTAATGTAATGTAATGTTACAGAGTGGGAGGCTTCTGGGCCGCTTTATCACATTGTCAGTTCTAGATCATTTATCACCTTATAGCACCATTCACCACTACCACATAGTCTTCGCCATACGAACTGTAAGTCCAAGGCGGCGGATCCAGCCTTCAGGGACCCCTCCTCATCCATTCACCCGAACATCCGAAGTGTGGTGTGTATATGTATGTGTGCCTGCATTGGTTTACCGTCGGGAACGTGTGCGTGTATGAATGCGCTGCTGCTTCCATGATGGATGCAGACATCCGTACAGCAATCCAAGTAGTACCAGCAGCAACTTATGAAGTACGTTTCCATTGATTGTATGTGTTCTGTTGTTAGCAGGCGTTCCTAAATATACGTAACATAAGCATTCCCGTTCTCGCTAGGTAACTGCCTGCATGCCTGCTGCTTGATGCCTGTTCGTATATTTAAACAACTGTCTTAAATTGATATTGTGTGTTACATCTTGCGTTCTGTCGTACGTGACGTACGTAATAATGGTGTACAGCGCGGCAACGGGCGGCTTGTGTGGGCCACCTACCATGCACCGGAGGACGAAGAGGACGAATGCAGGCAGGTCTAATGTAAATATGTGTACATTTACAAAAGGATATCCCAAAACCCATTACCCGAATACGTACTTGATGTGTATAGCTAGCTGAAAATATGCTAGCATGCACGCGCGCGATCTGCCCTGCGCACCTGTGCAGCCCATTCATTCATCCCAGCAGATAGAAGGCAGGCATTTATTTTCAATAGTGTTACGTATACCATCTCACACGGAGATTTATATGAAATGTGATGCTCCTAGATACGGTACGCATCGATATGTGAATTCTGTATTGATGTACCTATGTAAATGGCCAGTAGTAGCTGTTCGTAGCACGGCACACACATATCGTCTACAAATATGCGCTAGGGCGCTCCGCCAGCATCCTGAGAGGCCTTTACAGCGGCCAGCTACGACATGGCCATACGTACGCCTGTATGTATGTCGCATGTTCCCCCGGCAGGTGGGATGTGCAGAAGGTCATCCACCTGCCGCCGGATGCGTTTTTCCGGGACTATTCGGGTAAGGAGGTCGTAGGAATCGTTATGAAGGGCGTTGATGTAAAGAAGTAATCAGCGGGTAGGTTCCACACAGCAGGTATACGCCAGTATATGTATGATGTGTGAAACAGGGGGGTGTATCTTCGCCCGTGGCAGCTACCCTGCGAAACCCTGCCTTCCCCGGTATTTCGGGGCACCCTCATCCAGTCACCCTAGTCAACTTCTCAGTGGATCGCTCAGGTTCCGCACCCACCACCAGCATCCAACGGAATCTGCCGGGTCGACAGCGGCCCAACTCCGTTCCTGGTCGGCTCGCAGGTTAACTTTATCCCAGGTCACCACCGTCCACCCCCACCTTACCAGTAGTGCCTGGCCTATGTATGTATTATGTATGTATGACGTTGATTACACTGTGGGCTGAAAAGCCGGGGGCCCAGGGCCGAAACACAGCGCGGGGGGCGGGTGCATACGGCTGGTTAGTCTCATGCACTCCGCCCCCGGGTCAGGCCGCACGTGAAACGACGGCCGGCACGCAACAGCGCTCGTTTGGCGCTCCAAATAGACGGGATCTATGCCCGCTGGTCTCCTAACGTAAACGAAGTCGCAACTGGGGGGCTCTTCCTGCCGACCGAACGAACCGAGCATCTCAGAGAGCTCACAACCAGGACCTGGGCGACCGAGAGCCCGACGAGTCATCCCGGGCTGGGGAGGTCACCAAGCTCAAAAAACCTCACACGGAAAGAGCGCAAAGAGCTCACACCACAAGACGCCAAACAGCCTCCTGAGACTACTACCCTCCTCCGCCTCTCCCTCCCTGGGCTAGTCCAGGGGAGATAGCCCCCGTCGGGGGGGTAACACCGCACAAGTCCGTGCCCTTCCACAGCACTGTGTCTAACTTGAAAAGTACTCAAACGGGAAGACCCTGCGGCAGCGCCGGGCGATCAAGCCTCCGAAAAACCACAGGGGGGGAGGGTAGCCAGCTCGGCGGCCCCCCATTACCGCTCTACCAAGACGGCTGGTTTCCAAGATCCTATCTCACCTAGACGCCGCAACACGCGAAACCCGGTCTCGTACCCTGAAGAACCTACTCCTGCGTATGTATGCAGCCATATCGTTCCGAGGCGAGCTTGGTAGCGATGTGGCGATTGTGAGTCAGGAGGACGCGGCCGTGTGGGTGGGCTCCTTCGACTGGGAAGTGAGTGGGTGGAGGGGGAACGGGGGGGCCCATACACAAGCACACGCTCGTAGAGATACACGCGCTGTAAAATGTACTTGTGCACTCTGCAAGCACTCGTAGACATGCAATATCCGTACGCAATTACTCGTACTCGTGCACTTGTACGTTCTCCATTCGTACGCGTGTAGTAATGGACGTACACGTGCTCGTATACAGGCGATGGAGTTTGTGGAGAGTGACCCCCGCCGACGGCGAGGTGACGACGACCGAATGGGCCGTGTGTACTACTTTCCCAGGACTCCTGAATGCCGCAAGGTGCGTGACGGTTCACGTGACGGTTGCCGTACATGACGGTTGACATGCGTATATACCGGGCTGCGGCGGCGGCTGGGACTTGGCTTCTCGCTGTATGTGTTATTTTAGTTCATTTAAGGTTTAGGGCTTAGGATCAGATTTTATAGGGCTAAGGGTGGGTCCCGCTCACACTAAGCAAGCAAGCAAGCGGGGTATCGATGATGGGACCTGCCGAAGGAACGCCGCAATTACCAAGCTGAGAAAACAACAACAGTGCATTAGTAATAAGGAAAAAGCAGCAGCAGCAATAAAGGAAAAGCCCATAATTAAACAGGATCTCAAATGAATTACATGAAATCCCGCCACGGCCACGGACCTGTGTGCTACGTGCATCCTTATTACCTATGCGCACTACTACATACACACCCGCGGCACCCACCCATCCATCCATCTGTACCTGTACCTGTACCTGTACGCTGACGGGGCACACTCGCACGCAGGTCTACACATCTGCTCTCGCCGTGATGGCCGCTCCCGGGTAGTCCGCGGCACCTCCATACAACCTCTATCTATCCATCCACACGTTTGCAGATGCATCTACCTACATCTACACCTTCACCCATCACTCATTTGCCGCCGTATGTTTGTGTGTATGTATATCTATCGCAGCAATATTGCAACGTGGAGGGGGTGGCGTGGATTGACGGAGAGCGGCTTGTGTTCACAAGTGACAAGTCCAAGTCCACGCAGGATTACAGGTATACATATACATACAGACGTACTCTTTACACTTGTATGTAATTAACTATGTGTTGCCTGATCGAGAAACGCACGTCCCTCCTGCTGCTGCGGCTGCTGCTCGCATTTTTTACATGCTTGCTATGTCCCGTTAAGTGAACGAACTGAGCTACATACGCACTCACCAATTCCATATTGTGCTGCATTCAGGTGCATGGAGAAGGACCAATCCCTCCATATCATGGCGTTGCCCTAGCGCGCTAGTACGCTAATGCTTAGTATATACTAGTAGGTACCTTGGCTGGTAGCTGCTGTCGCCGTCTGGTGCTACGTGTACAGTGTGTACAGTCGTACAGTCCCACGTGTACCTCCTCTTGCCTGCCTGATAGCCAACAAGCTATATGGGACAGTGACGCGTGTGCGTTGGAATATATACATATGTACATATACATGTCCTTGCAATGAATTTAAGGAATCCATCTACATATTTACGTAGCTGTATAGCATAATGCGTGTATGTATGTCACGTATGTATGTAGGCGGCCATATGTATAGTGGTAGCCAGGTAGAACCAGAGTTTCTTTGTTGATTGTATCGGTTGCAATTATCGGTCAACCGATGATCGGGTGCGTTGGTTTGTGCAACGTTGGTACGTTGTACGTATGTACATGCGATGTCATACAATGGCTTGCACGAATAACGTTTGCAGTGGTGTAGGGACGCACGCGTTGCATGGATGTGTGTGCATGCATGCTTGCTGTGGACATACATATGTGTGCATTATACTTGCTATCTGGAAGTTGGTTAGTTGAGAAATATTCGATTGTTTGGCTGCACGGTGCGACCATCATTCATTATGTACGTCATCTTGCTTCGTAGTTGCATTTTCCTGTTGACAGCTTGTACGCGTACAGTGATAATGTAAAGTCGAATGAAGGACACGTTACCTTGCTCTGTGTCTGTTTGTATATCAAGTTTCGGTGACAAATCTCGATGTGCCGGGGAAATACAATAAATTCCAATCCAGTATATACCGCTCGTTCCGCAACATCGAGTAACATAGAAACAGACAAGTGGTCATAGCCACAGGCGTAAAGAGAACTAAGCATATTCAGATAGATAAGACATACGGAAACGGTTTGTGGTTTGAAACGGTTTATGTATTTCTATGCGGTTAGGGCCCAACGTCACCAACCTATCACGTGGCCTACCAGAACTACGATGTTCACCATCCCATCATTCGTTCGACCTCTTATGATGCCGTATGATTACCACACATTTCTCCAGCTGGCAACATATAAAAAGATAAATATTTCGTCGTATATTCGTCGTATATTTCGTAGTTATGGTACGAGAAACCTTCATCTCGTATCCTCAAACCCTTGATTCCTTTCCCAGCAGTAGGAGCCTCTTCAAGCTGTAAGAGCAGGGCATGACAGGGCTGTGGCATCCATGTCCTTGGCCACAAGCAGTTGCATTAGCGTTACAACACGTGCCATAACACGTTCACATCTTCAGCATACATTCGCACACATGTATGTATGTTGTTACAGGGTGGTATAGCTTCACCAGCGGCCCCCTTTCCCGAGGCAGTTCCCTGCTCTCCCCTGCGAGAGGGGCACCCTAATCCGTTCACCCATCCGACTTCAGAATGTATTCGTTGGGTTCAGCAACTCACCACTAGCATCCAACCAAATCTAGCGGATCAACAGCCGCGGCGCCTCAACTTAGTTCCTGGTCAGCTCGCAAGTTCACGTCCTACACCGTCCATAAGATGGGGGGCCACCTCCCATTTCAACACTCCTCAAACACCCGATAAGTCGGCAGGCGGATTTAAACCCGGACACTCCGGGAGCAGAAGTCAGGCCTTCACCTCTGCCAGCCCGTATGTATGTACGTACATGCCCGCCTTCCCGTATGTATGCACATATGTACATGAACATGCAAAATGTATGTACATGCACACGGGTGAGGGGACCGTTGTCAGGTATATCCAAGGCCTTGAAAGGAGTCGCCCCAGCGCTCGCGAACAACCGACTCCACCTCTGGAGATAGCCTGGAGGACCGGGGTGGGGTGGGCGGACCGTTTGCGTGTGTGTCGTGGACGTGTACGTGACGTGTCTACATTGGAGCAGAGGGCGCGACATCCGTGTGCTTCGCTGGCGTATACGAAAGCGGGGCGGGGGCGAGGGAGTTGCAAGGACTACCTATTTGCGACGCGCAGAGGGGAAAAGTGGAGAAGTGTGGAGGGGGGTTGTGGGGACCCTCTTTAAGGGACAGGAAGAAGGGAGAGTAAAGGTGGGAATAGGGACGTTGGTGAAGGTTGAACTGATGGAAGAGCATCTTAATATTAATGGAATAGCTGTCCTAGATTTGTGAACCTCCTCAAAGCACATTATCGTACCGCACTCTGCCGTACCTGTTAAAGTGATTCTTCTTGAAGTCTCCTAGGCTGGAGACGTACGAATGGAAGCGGTCGGACAGCGTGTTGTACTGCTCGTCCCACCTGCAATTCCCGTGCCGTGACGACAGGGGACATTTGAGGGTATTATGTCGATAGTCGACGGCGATGGTCTACAAAACCCCTAAGATCTTCCCATACCACAACTCATTTCAACTGCCCAACATACCAGGGCACCCAACTTCACCAGGGTACCCATACATTTCGGTCGTGCCCGAAACCCTCTGAATCGGGGCCCTCCTCGACTAGGGGGGCGGCTTTTCAAAGTCGAAAAGGGGCTCGGCCCGGTGCAGCTCTCTTTGTCGCGCTCCGATTTATCTGGAATGTCTCCTTTGGCATTTCGATATAGAATGGATATAGCATTCAATGAACCCGGGGGGCTCGGGCCCCAGAATGGCGCTTCGCGCCCGGGGCCTCGCCCAAAAATTTTCTTGTCAGGCTGAAGCTGTCCGAAGCGGTTTTCGGGGTAGAGTTTAGCTGGATTCTATCGTAATATGCTAGGACAGCTGAAGTAACAGGTGTTTGACCTTATCTTGGAACATGGCGCCAGCTTTTATCACAAGGGGTTTGCATTTCATATCCGCAGTTGGACCGAGTAATCCAACACGCAGAAGGGAACCAATGGACGGGACAGACAGCCGGTTACGCAGCCTGTCCTTGATAATGCGGTGGGCACTAAAGCCACGCTGAACACACATCATAGCTGGCTCGGGCATGTTTGAATAATCAATGGATATGCTTAGATGTATGAAAATGTGTGCGATACAGTCGCAATGCACATTCGTACTTGTTGTTTGACTGGTGACCAAGCGGGCCTTATACTGCAAGCCCGGTTTCCAGGCCCCTTCTGCGCCTGAAAACATCCAAAATTACGCTTGAATATCGTTCGGTTTTCTCCGAAAATGCCTTCGGGAGGCTTCGGTAGGGCACCCGAAGAAATGCTTCAAAAGGCCCAAAATTTGTTCGGGATGCTTCGGGGCGCACTAATGTTTCTTTCGGGCAAAACGCAAAAAACTCATTAATGTTCGGGCGCGAATCGGGATGAAGAACCCGGCAACATACCCGAATTGGTGGTAGATACGGCGCAGGACCCCGAGAGGATCCGAATCCAAATCCGAAAACCCAACTTCCACCAGCCGATCCGCCGGAATGCGACTTCGATCCGCCATGTACGACCTACGGTACGGCAATATCACAGCGCAAACCCTAAAGCAAGGCAGTAGCAAGATGTTGAGTAAAAATGGAAAGCGGTGAAATGGTGGAGTAAGATGCCGTATAGCGGCCGTGATTCGAATAATCCTGGATTTGCTTCCTTGTCGTACGCGCTGCTGTCTTCACACAGCCTGTCTACCCGTCTGTCTTGGCATTATTCAATAGGGCGGCTTTCCCTTCCGAAGCCCCACCCAGATCCGCACCGGAAATCCCGCCAAGCCTCATCGCAACCCGCCAACCAGGAAAATCCGTCTGTACGAAAACCCTACTTACCGGTACAGAATGTCGTACTGGTCCATGATAAATTCGTTGGTGACGTTGTCAGTTGGTTGTTGCAGGTAGGTAAACCAGTAGTAGGTATCAGCCATGTTCGCGGCGGACTGGAACACCTGTCTGCGTACGGCACGCGTACGGCAAGTTGAAATCCTAAGCAACCCGTTTGGCGAGTATATTTGCTATACTGTTTCCTTCCATTCCCCCTCCCCTCCCTCAACAGCCAGCCGCAATTTTACTTGACACTTACACCGCAGTCTTTCGTCAGCCATCTCACACCGCATATCGGGGGGTTGGGTATGCGCTTTGTTTTCTTGTTCTGGCTATGCCTCGCCAGCGCCAGCGTCGTGTTCTGCCAGATACAGCTCACCTACCTGCGATGCCGCCACGCTGGACTGCTGTGAAGAGCTGCGCGGCGCGGCACGAGAAACGTCGCTGGCAGGGGAGTTGCTCCGTACGACTGGTGCTATAAGTCTTCATAACCCTACCCGGCCTTTTCTTTTCTATCACCTCTTTGCTGTGCACGATGCCCACGTCCCCACTTCTCCGTGCTCCCTTCCGTAAACACGGAGTTGTCTACGCTGCCTTTTCCCCACGCGCGCCATCTCTCGGCTTGTACAACGGCCTTTCCTTGCGTCATAACTGCTTATTTCTCTCACATTAGCTCTACCTGCTTCGTATTGCGCGCTTGTCGCTGTCAGCACACCCACCTTCCGCTCCTGCCTTCCCCCCAAATTCCCTCCTTTTCTTCCTACCCACCTTCCGCTCCTTTCCCCCTGAATCCCTCCCCTTCCCACAACCCACCTTCCCCTCCCTCCCCCAAACCCCTCCACTTCTCCCAACCCACTTCCCGCTCCCTTCCCCCCCGAACCTCTCCACTTCCGCAAACTCACCTCCCGCTTCCCTCCAAACCCCTCCACTTCCCTCTACCAAGCTCCCACTCCCTTCCGCCTCATAACCCGCCAAACCTGACGTCCTCCCCCAAAATAAATCCCTTCTCCACATCTTATTCACTACGGGGCTGCATGCACATGCTCCTAGTGTGCACGGGTTGGCGGGAGCCACGTATGGCCCCGGCCCACGCACACACACACGCATTTCTTTTCCTGCCAACTGCCTCTCCTCCCATTGGCCTTTTCTTTAGCGTTCTTTCCAACCCTGTTCTCCTTTTACTAACTTCTTTGCGTTCCTGCAGGCGTACACGTCGTCCAATGCGTCATCCCGTTGTCAATTCCGTCATCGCGTACGACACCTTCTGTGTCGTTCTGCGCCGTCTTTGTGTTCATAAAAATCTTTTTTAGTCCCTGCGTTTTCTTCCGCTTCCACAGAGGTTCTTTAGGGCTTCTTATCCCCAGCTTCCCCGGTCAGCCAGCTTAATACTCCATTTCAGCGGCATTCGCATGCGTTCTTGTCTTTATCGCTCGCTGCTCACAACTTTCCCACCTCTCTGCCTCGCATGTGCCTTTGCCCGCTGCTTCTGCTGCCTGGCCAGGTGGAAGGATGTTCGAGCTTTGTCGGTTTATCGCGTTGCGTCGGTCGGCTAGCCGGACTAGGATAGTCGGGTCGGTCGGGTTGGTCGCGCGTTTTTTGGGAGGAAATACGAACCACAAACGAGTGAAGCTGCTGCCAGGGCAAGAGTGTACCAGACGTAGGACTGACCGAAAGGCGTCCGTGAAGACGGCGGCGAAGTAGTAAAGCACTGCTGTCGTAAAGCTGGAATAAAGTTTGCTGCTGGCCTGGAGAACTAGCTGATTTTGCTGGTAATGAAAAGCTGTCGGTATGCAAGTGCTCCTCCCAAACAAAAACCGCGCGACCGACCCGACCGACCCGACTATCCTAGTCCGGCTAGCCGACCGACGCCAACGCGATATACCGAAAAAGCTCGAACCTCCCTTTGGGCTCACCTGGCCAGAAGCAGCGGGCAAAGGCACATGCGAGGCAGAGAGGTGGGAAAGTTGTGAGCAGCGAGCGATAAAGACAAGAACGCATGCGAATGCCGCTGAAATGGAGTATTAAGCTGGCTGACCGGGGAAGCTGGGAAAAGAAGCCCTAAAGAACCTCTGTGAAAACGGAATAAAACACAGGGACTAAAAAAGAAATACAAATGGAAAGGCGGCACAGAACGACACAGAAGGTGTCGTACGAGATGACGGAATTGACAATGGGATGACGCATTGGACGACGTGTACGCCGGCAGAACGCAAAGGAGGTAGAAATGGAGAAATGGGTTGGAAAGAAAGCAAAAGAAAGGCCAAAGGGAGGAGAGGGAGTTGGTAGGAAGAGAAGCGCATGTTTTTTGGGGGTTTGGGAGGAGCACTTGCATATCACCAGCTTCTTATTACCAGCTTTTCAGCCAGTTCTTGGCCAAACCTCGTCAATGCCGCCGCCAGGCCGGCGGCAAACTGTATTCCAGCTTCACGTCAGCAGTTTTTTTACTACTTTTCCGCCGCCTCTACACCTACCTTTACTTTTTTACGGCTTGGCATTACTGCTTTCCTTCCGCGCTTTTTTAGTCTTGGCGGCTAGGTAGTTAGTTGTCCGACATCATCTTCACTACATCATCCTGAGGTCGCAGCCTTCAAGAACGCCTTTTGGTCAGTTTTACGTCTGGTACACTCTTGCCCTGGCAGCACCTTCACTCGTTCGTGGTTCGTCTTTCCCTCCCTCAACACCCCTCCCCTCCCCTTTGACCCCGCCCCCTAACCCCCTCTCTCCCACTACCCACCTGCCTCAGCGTCCCCTTCAGAGACCTCATCGTTTTACGACCCCCTGTGTTTAGTTAGGGGATGATCATCCCCTAAAGCTCCCCTTTGAATGAAGCCAAAGGGTTGTCATCATTCTCTTTAGGGACCCTCCCCCCCTTCTTCTTACACCCCATTCACACCCCGCCCCGCAGCTAAAGCCCCAAACCACGAAACCCCACCCACCCACCTCCACGGGGTGCCTGTGCACGTAGATGAATCGAGCGCGGGGGAAGAGATGTAACCAGATTCCCAATCTAGCCGTATGGACGGGACTCTTGATGAGCAAAGGCATCGTCGTTACAACTGGAGGGGCGAGGGAGCCACTGCCGCCCTGGCTTCCGTTGCCGCGACTGCCACCGCCGCAGCTGCTGTTGTGGTTGCGGACATGTCGGTACGTCACCTGTGCAGGTGCAGGTGCATGTATGTATACGTGTATGTATATGTATACGTGTATGTGTGTATGTATGTATGTGCTTCATACTGATCTGGGCAGCGAGAAGGAAATGGCGATGGTAGTACACGTGTGCATCTGTTATGCCATTATGTCACCACATCACACCACATCACACCACATCACACCACATCACACCACATCACACCACATCACACCACATCACACCACCAGCAAGGGGGAGAGGAGGGGCTAAACAGCCGGGCCTCGGCCCCCCTCCCTCCCATATCCCGCACACCTACCTTCTTCATGAACCACAAGGACGCTGCCAGCCACCTTTGAAACGCCGTTGAGCTGACCGGCCCCCCGGGTGGCTCAACAGCACCACCGTGATTATCATCACGATCACCATCATGGCCGAGCCCTTTATCGTCAGCACCAGCAGCAGCAGCAGCAGCAGCACAGGCCGCATCCGTCGGCGGCACCACCGTCGCTTTGGCCGCCGGCAGCTTTTCAGCCGCCCTGGGTTCCCTTCCCCTGCTTTTGGATTTGGTATCGGGTCCGCTGGATTTCCAGTCTAGGAAGTTTCGGAGCAACGGCCGCCAGAGCCGCGGAAATACGAGTGCCAGGTACGGCGAATCCCCTCCGGTCAGGACGTTCACGGCGATCTCGTCCTCCTGGAGAGGCGGGGGTCGGTTATACGTATGTATGTATGTATGATGGCTAGCTATATATGAATTGGTAAATAAGGAGATCCCACACTTTTCCTTCGCACCTAGCGGTGGATAGACATGATGACAGCGAATATGTGACGGAAAATAAGTACGGCGTACATTTACATCTGTGCCCTATGCTGGTCGTGGCGCAAGAAAACAAAGGGCAGCTTCCTTTTGGCTTATTACGAAGATAATCGCGGTTAACTAACGGCCAACTAACTAACCGCCGGCAGGTCCCAATGTAGCGCCATGTTGTCCATGGGCCTGCGCCGCTCCAGCAGCCCGGTCAGCAATCCCCGTATCGGCTCCAGGGTTAGGAAAGAGGAGGGAAAACCTGCCGTACAGCCGTACAGAGGAGAGGATAGAGAGGGGAATATGCTACGTGTGGGAATGGGCAGTGTAGTCATCCCAACCGTGCGGAGGTCCCCGATCAGCAAAACGTCTAAATATTTGTTTCCTGGTTTATCGAAGCTGGTGGTATTCTACCAATCCTTATTTTAATGTTTTTTAATATTCTTTTTTGTCTTGAACCCCCTCTGAAATTCCGGTCAACTACCTCCTAACTTCCCCATCCACAAAACGACTAGAAACGGCTTGGATCCGGGATCCAGGAGACCGTCTCTCCTTACTAAGACCCTCTCAGCCCCCTTTTCCTCATCCCGCTTACTGCTATTGCTGCGCCGGAGATAGATAGATAGATAGATAGATAGATTGCTGCACGCGACAACCCCCCGTGGTGGGTCGGTGGCCCAATCACATAGCACGTGCATACATACATACATATCGATACCTGCACAACAATAGTATTCTCAACCATGACCACGCCAACCCCAGCCAGCCCTCACCTCACCCAACTGCGCACTACTACCTACCTGCGTGAAAGGTGGTCGCGAAAGCGAACCGTGGGTCGGTGGCTAGCAGGTTGTGTAGGTGGGTGGTTCCGGAGCGGGGATGCCCCAGGATGAAGAGGGGCTCTGGGTGGAGGGGTTGCGAGGACACGGCCCGGGAGAAGAGCACCCTGGAAGAGGGAGCACTCCCGAGGGCGGGGGGGAGGGAGGAACGGGCGGTGCAAGGAGGGGTGGTGCGAGGGGAGTGTGTGCGTGCGGTGTGGTCACCCTACCCTGCATAGCCATAGCCCTATTGCGGCAGGACAGGACGGAGGACACCGCCTTCTCCCTCAGGAAGGTGAAAGGAGGAGAAAGACGAACCACTTGAGCGAGAGTGAAGCTGCTGCCAGGGCAAGAGTGTACCAAACGTAGAACTGACCGAAAGGCGTCCGTGAAGACCGCGACCTCGTGATGACGAAGTGAAGAAGATGTCGGAAGAACTACCTACCTAAGCCGCCAGGACTAGAAAAGCAGAAAAAATAATATTGCCAAGCCGTAAAGAAGTAGGTGTAGAAAAGTAGGTGTGAAGGCGGTGGAGAAGTAGTAAAACAGTGCTGTCGTAAAGCTGGCATAAAGTTTGCTGCTGGCCTGGAGAACTAGCTGATGAGCTGGTGCTGAAAAGCTGTCGATATGCAAGTGCTCCTCCCAACCCCCCAAACTAAAACGCGCGACCGACCCGACCGACCCGGCTCAAGGGGGAAAGGAGGAACCACTTGAGCGCAAGTGAAGCTGCTGCCAAGGAAAGAGTGCTTCGGCAGGTGTACAGGAAGCAGAACTGACCTGTCGGAGGTTGTGAAGAAGCCGTCCTCGGGATGATGTGAACGGGGGGAGGGGGTACGCGTGCGGGTATGTGCGTATGTGTGTGAACGTGTCGACGTGTATGTGTTATGGTAGGCAGGGCACGGCTAACCAAGCCACTACATACCACCACAACTCTCCCGCAACGACACACACGCATACACATACATACACACACAAAAGCAATCTCTCCCCCTTTCTACTCACCAGTCGAAGAGGGACAGCAAGGTGTTAATGACGGCCATGATCGACAGGAAAAGAACCTGCGCGCGATTGACAAAGCGCACAGTACGGTGATGTACGGCATTTACGTATAGCGCAATGGTGACGGTGAGAGGAATGCGTCAATCATTTCCAACGTCAGCTGCTGTGCTTTACATGTCATACGCCGCAACATGCTTTTCCGCCTCCGGTCGGCTGACAGTTGCGCGTCTGTGTGTGTATAACGCAAGTGGGACTAACGAATGCAGCACCCGTCGAAATCCCGTACATTCGTACGACAATCGAATTCCCCCCCATTTCCAGACCCCATAGAAAAAGAGAATGAAAGGTCCACCGAGCAAAGAGGAGTAAAGAGGCAAACATCAAAACACACCCGCACACGCACTGCACCCGGGGACTTTGGGGCCCATGGGTGGCGGAGACACAAACAAACACATGGTCTGGTCTGGGTTGACACTACTGCGATTCGCGGTTTAAGGTCCTGGGTTCGATTCCTGGGGAGACCCCCGAATTAGTCGGGAGCGCGAGATTATGGCTAGCTGCTGAGATGTGGAGTTGAGGTCGCAGTTGATGGACCAGATTCGCACGCTAGATTGGTGGCAATTGCCGAACCCTCCGTCTCTTCGGTTGTTCGGGTGAATGGATGAGGAGGGGTCCTAGACGGCTGGACCCGCCGCCTTGGACTTACAGTTCGTATGGCGAAGTATAGTGTGGTAGTGGTGGACGGTGCTATAAGATGATAAATCGTAGAACTGACAATGTGATAAAGCGGCCCAGAAGCCTCCCACTCTGTAACATTACAATTACAACATGGCACCATATTGAGGCGGTGCCCAGACGGTGGGGGCCGTGTGGGCACCGTCTCAATAAATACAATAAACAAACACACGGCACCGTCTGAGCACCGTCTGGGCACAGAGAGACCACAGAGGCCAACGGAGATCAATTGCATCCACATGCATCAACAGGACAGCATTTCGTACCGTACATGAGGGACCGGGGGTAATTTCCGTACAAATTCCCCGAAGTCCCTTCCCGTCGTACATCCATCCATAATTTCAGATCCACACTTTCCAAATCCATTGCACGGCTTCAGGAGCCCCTCCTAGCCACCTACCCGATGAGGGTAGGTCAGCCAGTCTACGGAATGGCCGTGCCTAAACAGGAGCTTGAGCCAGGGCCGCAGGGTAATGCCTGGTTAGAGGGATATATGTGCACGGGAGGGCAGTCCAGGGAAGGAAGGAGAGGGAGGGTTGGGGACTGTTAACGGCGTGGGGGGACTCATACTAGTATGCAAGACTGCATGTCCTACTGCATGTGATGCATGTTCCCCGCCTCTTATGCAAAACTGGGTGCGGGGTAGCGCCACCAGAAAGGCCATCGCATAGCAACCCCTGTTCTCAGGATTTAGATCTCCCAATGCTTGTGGCAAACAGAGGTCTAATGAAGTCAAAGCACGAGAATTGAGGACTGTTGTAATGCGGAAAACGATGCCGGTTTAGTGGAGCGGTCGCGGTTTCGGGTCGCAGAAGGGGAGACGCGTTTCTTCTGCCGTGTATATGCTAGGTATGATGTGTGGGACAGGGGGGTCATATCTTCACCCTGCGGCCGCTACCTGGCGAAAGCCTGCCTTCCCCGCGGGTATTTCGGGGCACCCTCATCAAGTCACCCTAGCCGACTTCTCAGTGGATCGCTCAGGTTCCGCACCCACCACCGGCATCCAACGGAATCTGCCGGATCAACGACGGCGGCTCAACTCCATTCCTGGAGTTCAACTTTATCCCAGGTCACTACCGTCCATCGACTAGGGGCACTTTCCCTTCCACCATCGGAAGGATTTTCGTCACTTACAGGTCTTGATCACGGAACATTGTTGTGTGCGTTACCAGTAGAGCCTAACCTAGCTTGCTAGGTATGCTGGGAGGATGGAAACGATGAACCCTGCTATTCGCAACGCGCAGACAACATACCTGACATGAAATTGAGCTTTAATGCCCAGCGATGTTTTGGAGTGTAACGGTAGGATGGCAGGGGAGCGCCGTCCGGTCCACGCGCCGAGCATCGTCCCGCAGGATGGAGCGTGTCGCGCCCTTTTGCCCGCGAATTCGGCTTGCCTCTGCCCATGTCCGACAGCCGTAACGATAAATACATGTGATTACGCTATCAATTATCTACCGAACTGCCTACTCCTATAATTTTGTTACTCATGCAGTACAGAACCGAGAGAGCCCCGCTCAGTCGGACAACCTTCATTTCAAAGTATCACCAACGTGATGATGACCACTTCTGCATTTCACGCTTTACGCATGAATCCGAGACACTTGGCAACGGTCAACGATTTGCGTGCCTTCCGCCTCAAGATTATCCTTGCCCAATTTGGTGCTTGCTAATCCTCTGTAAGCGAGTTCGTTAAAAATTGTCATAAATCGCAGGAGGATGACACAGCTTAGATGCGTCACAGAGAATTTCGCTCGTTTGTTCCAAAGGCTTCACTATACGTACAACTGTACTTGTGGCCTGCCACCAAAAACCTGGATTGCCATAGGTGGCCTTAAAAAACTGCTACTTTATTGCATTCCATGCTATAATGCTGATAGGTCATCGCTCCATAAGCCAACGCCATACCAAAGAACACTCTCGCATGCCAAGCGCCGCAGGACGCCCAACCCTAAAGATTGCGGCGCTAACCCACTGGCATATTACAGTACAACTATGCATGGCTCATGGGTCATGACTGGCCTGGTAGCCAGAAGCCAGGAAGACGACTCGAACCGGTCTCAGCTGGTGTCCTTCCTCGCCATTTGATAAACAAGCCGCCCGTCTGGGGCAAGACATCCTGAAGGAGATGATCCTCTCAGATGGTCGGTCAATCGGTAAAAACCCCACAGCAGCTCACAGAGAAAACAGAAAAGGAAAAACGTCACGGCAATTTACGTAGAAGATGCAGCATCGCATCGCGTCACGCCGTACACTCATAAACACACATAGGATTGCGGAGGGGTGCGTTACTTCCCTCAGCAGTTCCCGAGCAGTCACTTAGATGACCCGGAGACAACGAGGTTTGGGACTCGACGGGTCTTAGGCGGGTGACCGAGGAGGTGCGCGGGGAGAAAGAGCCGTCATCAAGTGAGACACACATGACCACTGTGTAACGCGACCACATCCACCGCTATCGCAAGTTTAACTACTACATCTTCTTAACATCCTACCATCTAAACCCCACCCCGAACAGCAGCCGCTCTGCAATACAACACAGTCGCTATGCCTGTTCAGTCCGTTGTCTTTCTGTCTGTTTGTCGGCCGGTCACTCTCCCGCTCCAGTCCCTTACCACCACCACCTCCAGCCCCTCCTTACTCAAACCGTGTGTTCTAAGCAAGCAAGCAGAGAGCTCACTAACATGTCGAGTTTCGGAGCCGACAAACCAAATAGCCCAAAAGCCGTACACGTGCCCCGCTACATGTTTACAGCCCAGCTCCCGCCTTCGTAAACACCAGCTCATTGACTTCGGTCTTCAGGTCTTGTCGTAGAAACTCTTTGCGGCCTCGACCCTTGAAGGCGTAGTGGCGAGTGTACTGCGAACGACGGTCCGCATCTTGCTGGGCCTTATGATCACTACGGCGGTTGTCGTGCATGTGTCGTACGGCATGCAGGATGTTGCCCGATTGTGTTTTGGGGTGCGGCCCCAGGTCCGAGGTGAGCGAGGGCGGGAGAGGGGATCGTGAAGAGAGGGGGAGGGAGGGGGAGGGCAGGCGAGATTCCGGGGTGAATGAAATAAGGGGTGTTAAGAGGGGTTGTCAATGGGATTGCCATGATTGCATTACGGAGGTGATGCCGTACAGGGGAGGGAAGGAACGCCGGGGACGCGAGAGGTGTTAGGGAGTACG